ATTGGGATTTGAAATAAATCTGTGTCCACTTGTGATTTCTTTTTATACACATTCAATAAATTTAATTTATTCCCAATTTTCTTTTTATTCCAAATTTGGACGTGGTCCCAAACTGTATCTCGACCAAACAAACATTGGGTTTGGCATCTTCTCCATCTTTGTTTATCGTAACCAGACGCTACCATATTTGGAGGAGCGAGGGGTGGAGCCTGACTGAGAGCTCACGGACACTGCACGCCCACCCGCATCTGCGACCTGCAGCCATTGGATGCTATTCGCCGTCGGTCACACCGTATCCACGCCCCCGATGCAAACAGAGCTTCATCCGAGATCCGAGAAATCGACTCAAATGTAGGAAAACGTCCAATTTCTCAAGGTTAAAGAAAGAGAAAAACAATTCCGAGATCCGCCCCCTGATCCAGAGCTGCACCAGAACGTGAAGGGTTCTTCTCCGACACAAATTTAATCGTTCCACCAAATCTGGTGATGATTCATCTGGTAGCTTTTGTGTAACTTTGTTCACAAACAGACAAAATGACAAACAGACAAACAGACAGACAGACAAAAAGACAGACAGACAGACAGACAGACAGACAGACAAACCTAAATAACAAATCCTCAGTCGAGGTAACAAGGAGACATCAGATCTGAGGACACTTATAAATATTTGATCTTTCTGTCTCATTTGCAGAAAGAAGAGAATGTTTAAAGTAAATTACAAACTCTTTCATCATGAGTCAAAGATCTGTTTCAGAATCATGGAGTAGATTTTACCCACCAGTGATAAAAAGATAAAAAAGTAAAAGTGAAGACATGAAAAGCTTTCGTCTGATCTCGAAGCTGCTTTCATTAAATCTCTCTGGCGCTTTTTTCCTCTTTTCTCTCCAGCGCATGACGACAGATTCCAAAAATACAATTAAACCTCTAATTATATTGAAAATATCGCATCAAACGTCTGAGACAAGAGAACTTGTTACGTATCTTTTGGAGTTAAGCACACACGCCTCACATCCACTGGACATGAGTTTCACTCTGACAGTTTATCAGCCTCAGTGTTTTCAGGCTGCCTCTGACTCTGCAGCTCCTGCTATGATGAAACAAGACTTCCTCTTCCTCCTCTTCCTCCTCTTCCTCTTCCTCCTCCTCTTCCTCCTCTTCCCCTTCCTCCTCCTTTTCCTCCTCTTCCCCTTCCTCCTCTTCCTCTTCCTC